GAACCACCTCTTTCAAGGTGTTACAACATTTTTGGGACACCCTGTATTTCGCACGTGGACGACCGATGTTGAATCGATTAAATAATTCAATTGGTATTAGTATCGAACTAGTATAAAGGGTGTAATACTAGACTTGTATATACATACTCATATTTTCAACCTTTTGGCTTACAACCACGAGTAAGGCTCGTGGTAAGGGATTTGGGCCATAAACAATAAGCACCAGTCTGAGTCGTGATATGTTGTTTGGGCTTCCTACCTTCTTGTTTACTATGGTCCGAGCGATCGGGAGATAGCGTGTAGGTCAAAGGGTTAAAACATTTTTTTAATAAAACTGTGACCTACTGATTTGTTTTATTAACTGTACGATGTGACACGTCAGAGGCGATTTTAAAGTTCCGAGGAAAAATAGTGTTATCACTCCAGAAGTGACCTCATAGTGCAAAGAATCAAGATAGATTTACTATAGAGTCAAGAGAATTTTACCATTTTATTTCAGTTTTCCAATACACATGTAACTAACATTTACTAACATTCTATTTATTAACATTCTATTCTTCATCTGTGTATATTATATAAAAATATAAATTTGCTATTCATTTAAGATTCTAACAGTCTACTCGTCGATTCATCTACTCGTCTAATAAAAGTATAAAAGCTTGCTCGACTAGGAATCCAAAAGTCTACTCACTTGAAAGTCTACTCGCCTATTCATCTACTCGTCTACTCGTTTACTATTTAATCATTCGACATCCGCAATCCACTAAAATCAGTCTTGTTAAAATGGTTTGATAGTCCAGCAGAAGTTCCTTGATACAAGATTACTGCTACTTGTCAATTAATTCCAGTAATAGAGGTTTCTCACTTATCCAAGTTTGACGATACTTTTGGAAGAAGGATGTCCACGTTTCACCATATTTCTCATTCCTTCGTCTTGATCTCCGTGCTCTAGTCCCCGATTGACCCAGTTCAAGGAACCACGAACGAGTCTAGGGGCTTTAACAGGAAACCGCAAGTTAGCCCGATGACTCAAGGCGATACCAGTCTCGTCCAGGAAGCGATGTCGTCGGCGACAACTCGTCCATTCTGGCCAGGCGATAGTATGCCATGGCGGGTCGCGCAACTTTCACGCTCTCAAGCTTGTGCATAGACACGGAAGAAACTTGAAACCGGCCCAGCGAGTACTCTAGTAGTCGCAGTGCACGCAGGATCACGGTAGCGCTTGGATCGCGACGTGTCCTTGACAGACCAACCCCTGGTTCGTAATCGTTCGAAGGGTGAGTACTCGAGGAGCCTGTATCTCGATTTTCCCGCAGTGCTTCGATCGTACATGCCAGCTGGACATTAAACTATATTTTTTTATCTTCATACCAACCAAACCTGGCCCAGAAACACGAGTATAAATATTTTCTTTAATTCATTCAGTTCTGTAAAACTGTACACTTAGCAAAACAATTAAATTTTATTAAGGGGAGAATGAGTAAAACGGGCGAAAATATATTTCTTTTAATTTACGATATAATTACTTTTGATTTCTATCAGAAGACAAGGTCTTATCGAGCCTATTCTCTAAATTCACATATTTCGATTTCCATTAGAAAAAGTTAATTTTGTTCCCTGCTTTTTCATTGTTTAAAGTACTTTGTATTGTACATTTTGGTTTCGTTTGGAAGAAGGAAATTATCCATCCTGTTTTTGTTATTTCACTTTTTATTTTTTTTTATTGATTTAAAATAACATTACCCACGTCTAATAATATTATTGTTTATCAATTTTACTAACTTGTTCAAATATGTAAAATTTACTTCTTGAAAGATAAATATAAAATAAACTAAAATGCGTTAAATAAAGGGTTAATCTTATATAATCGAGTTGTCGACCTCACTGTCCCTCTAATCTAACTAGTATAGTAGTCTACCTTAGCCACACATCAATCTCAATATCCGCACACTTTTAAAATAAAACATCTAAGAAGAACTAAGACAGAATTGAGTGTTCGAAGTCGTTAGAATAAAAATAACGAATTAATGGTATTACCGAACCGAGATTTGAACTAGATTTCTTGATTATGCAACGGGTATTAGAGTAGTGCGATTAGGGTTATCTGAATTGCAATAGTAGTCAAACTTACACGTAATACTGTTGCGGTTGTCCGAGTTAATATAATTTATGTAAGATTAGAACAGCCTTATTTCCAGAAAATGAAATATGCAAGAATGTGTGTATTATTTCTTCTTCGTTTTTCAATACGTGCAAAATTTTTACGTGGGTGTGAATATTACTGATTTTTTGAAGCGTTTATTTCCATCCATGTTTGTTTATTAAATGTCATCTTGAATTTATTGAATGTCAGTTTTAAAAATGTTTATTTACTAAATGTCATCGATGTGCATATTATCGAAATTGGAGTAGCATAGTTATTGGAGATGTGGCTCGTGAATCATGTCAAAGAAGAGAAGACTATCAGTCTTGATCCACACTAAATCCTTCAACCCTTTACGTTTCATTTTTGAAAATCAAATTATTATATTTTATTTTGTCGCAACTTTTTAATTTTCTAATTTGAAGTAATTATATTATGTTTCATCGAAATCACTCTGTTTACTATTTTTTCCCTATTTATAATTAACGTACGAAGAATATACACAATTATACATGTTTCTACTATCGTTGTTTTTATTTGATCTTTTTTTAAAAACACGTAAACCATCGAACGATTTTTTAGTTCACGGTTTTCTCGCGCGTTCTGTCCACGGACCAAACAACAAAAAGGATGGCTCGCCAATTATAGAACAATGGATAGATCGATAAGAGGGGTTCACTTTTTAACATCGTGCTTTAAAAATAACGATTTTTGTTTTATTTTAATTCATTAAAATACACGTCGCACGAGGATGCATATAATTTATGAACGAAGGAGATACGTAATCGAGAAAACGTTGATTTCGTTTCTAAAATCTCTGGTGGTTGAATATTTATCATATTGCACATAGCGAATAGTTCATATGTTACATGACGTGAAAACTGCCAACGTTAGTTTGAACTTCGAACTTTGATCTGCATGCTACAAAGTCACCGATTTATGCAACACTGATGTTATTTAAAAACATGTTTTAAAGAATCATCGGACGAAGTAAAAATGTAAAATATCTTTCCTCGAGAGAAGATCAAAAATATGTATAGCGATCACATTTAAATTCCTCGTCAACAAAATATTGTTCGTTTAAAAATGATCTAAGACGATGATAATAAGTAGACTACGAATGTTTATGCGAATTCATATTGTGTACAGATTCAGATAAGGAAGTGAAATTGAAATGGAAGTATGGATTATTTTCTAAACAGTGTAACGTGTATTTTATATATTTTTATATTCACACATATCCTCATACAGGTTCCCACATTTTCACTTGCCATAAGTGCACAAACATCCGCGTCTAATAATAAGTTTCTACGAATGAGAAATCATTCTTCCATGGTAAAATCGAATACTAGAGCGTAGAAGAAAGTGTTCGTTCCTCCAAGAGGTTTGGATGTTCTTTATAAAATGTGAATTTATATTTTCTATACAATGTTGCTCCTTTAAAATGATCTACGGCGATGATGATGAGTTTCAACGAATGAGACATCAATCTACCACTGTAAAATCGAATGTTAGGGCGAAGAAGAAAGTCTTCATTCTTCTAAAAAAGTTGAAAGTACTTCATAAAATGTGTGTTTAAATTTTCCATACAATGTTGCTTCTTAAAAATAATCCAAATGATGCCGGATAATGAATAGATAACGAACGTCGACGAATAATGAATCGTTTTAAGAAAATACGATGGTATTGTTGAACCAGACACCTACGTTTGCGGGAATGAAAAGAAACTTGTAAAAACATGAGCATGGGTGGAACGACTAGAACTACCATAAACGATCCTCGTCGAACCGTTGACTGATTAGCGGTTACGTCGAAAACGAAGTCGAACGATGGGAAAAAGCGTCGGTGTTGCGACAACGTCTAGGACAACCGAGAAAGTGGTAATGAGACGCTCTTGTGCGGCCCGTTGCATCAACGAACGTAATAACAAGTAACTGCATGCTACATCTCGATAACCAATGCACGTGGAGTGCACTGCTTGCAGAATGCAGAGTGAAACTGAAATGATGAAATCCGCGATTCCAATTTATAGGAGAAATCATGGTTCGACTGTAATTGACCATTTTGCGATTATTTTTGCAATTCATTACGTGAACGCAATCGTGACAATTATTTAATCGGTAGTTATATCGGTAGTATTATTGATTCAGTAATTCTCGTGTTTATCGCATTTTATAGTCATATAAACAGACCTTTAATCATTTCTGTTATTTAATAATTTAGTGGTTCTTGTAAATTGTAGTCAGAAATTCTTCTTTTCATTAGTTTTCATTAGCTTTTTTACCGAGGACACATCATTTCGACTATAATTGAATATGCCATTATCGCATTGATTAATAATTAATAAGTCCATAAAGTGTTATGATTATGATTAGTCTAGAGTTCGAAACTTTCGCGTCCTGCCTTATGATTTACCATTTCCTATAAAAAAGAACCAATTATACCTTTCCTTTCGAAAATTTCCTTTTTTTTTTTTTTATTTTTTGCTAATAACAAATTTTCAGTGAACGCAATAGTAAGAATTTACGAAATAATTCTTTTTGAAATTCTAAACTGCTCCAGGGGTTATAGAATATTTATAAAAATGTTCGATATTTAAACAAAATTATAACCATGCTGTCAGCTTCGAAACAGTACTTCCAGATTGGAATTTAAAGTGATTGAACACTGAGGAGTACAGTCAATCGCGAGAAGCGAGATTCTAACTATTACTTTCTCCTACCTCGTGTACGTGCATCGTAATGCATCGCATGCAGCGCGGGAACCCACGACAGAAGTCGCGTATGATGCAGCCGTTAGTGAAAGCATTGGGCCGTGGATGCAACAGGATGACCATGACACGTTTCGCAACTCGATGATATCTTTGGTAACTCGTTCGATGCAACTTGCACGGGGCTCGATGCGGTCTGTGCGTTTTACTTTTCAATGGATGCATCGTTGCAAACTTCTTACGCGTTTCCGTAAACGCATTTCTCCGACTCTATTCGAAATTTTTACGAGAGAAAATAGGAATAAATTCTAAGTTCGTGTTCAAAATTTTCTTGACACTCAATTGTGTATTCAGGTTCGATGTGGTTCTTCTAGATGTTGAAGAAAATAAGGGAAACAATATATGCAGATCAACATCCTTATACATTTTTCCATATATCTATCTGCCATAAATGCGATAAACATTCGCAGTCTGATAATTACAATTGAACACGAAAGATGATGCCGTTCAAATATCAAAAAACAAAATCCATAATCTCCTTTATTTAAGACTTTAAAGAATATGAATTATCCTGTCTCATCTACCGACTAAATCTTATTTCGTTTCATGCATTTAGATTTATGCAAATACGACAAAGAGATCTCAGAGAAAATCTCTTTAATATTCTGTTCAACGAATGGAAACGTTTCAAGTTTCCAGAATCAGGGTTCGGGGAAATTGAACACGTTCTGATTCGCATTTTGTGCAATGGCGCACATGCAGTCGCTTGGACTGAAAATTGTCCATTAATCACGATTACGCATTGGTGTTCATATAATATTCTGCATACGTAAACAAAACTGGTTTATTAATCCATGAAAAATATTGACTACACGTTGCACAATAACAACGAGTAAAACTTTAACGTTTACTAATCTTATTTAAATACCAAGATTTACCAATTTTCTCAGGATTCCAAATTTTACTGAAATTAAAATCTACTATTTTACAGTAACAATTTGAATATATTCGTTTCGATTTAAAATTTAAGTGTCATCTACACTGTAATTCATACAGAACAAACTTGTCGTAGACAAAGCATTTCGGTGATAATAGTTGATATTAAGTCTAATACTAGATCGCTCGACTACTTGACTACTAGATTTTGACTACTTGACTAGTAGACTACTTGGCTACTTCCCTACTATGCATTGATCTACTCGCCATTTAGCTTTCGCAATTCGTTCAACCGTAGGAAAGTTACGCGCACGCAGTAACGAACGATCGGGCGAGATTTGTCTTCGAATGAACTTGGGTGCCTTGAACTTTGGAACCTCTGGTGGTTAAGCGTACAGGTACACGTCTCGCTTGAATAATTATTCCTGTCCGTATTCGGAACGAACGTTGCTGTCTCGCGAACGAAGCGGCAAGATGTTTATCCACGTCTTTAAATAGATAGTTTTTTTTTTTATTAATGGCTTCAGTGTCGGTTTCCTATTCGCAGAGTTCCTGCGTCGCCAACCAATAGAATATCCTTTCGCCGTCGATCTTGGGATAGTTTCATTGGAAAACTGACACGTTCGTTTCGCGATTCGGTTGGCCAACAGGTTTCATGTTTTCGCATAGACGAGACAGTGCAAATAAAGTTCTTCGGACGTTTCGCTTCGCGATGCGCGAACTTTATGTTTCCTTAAGTGTGGAGGCCATTGTTACTTATGGGATATTACACATTGTATAGCATTTTGTATTCATTGTTCGCTAATTATGCTCACTGCGTGATTGCTTTGGATAAGGTTATGGGAATGAAACTCTCGTAATAGTTTGTAGAAAGCAGGAATTCGCTTCCAAACCAAAGATGCCCCTTTTTGAGCATCTTTGGTTTGGAAGCGAAAAATTCATACAGGTCCGTTCACAATGTCACCCTTAGAGCAAAAACTTATCATTTTTACATATATTTTATGCTATATGTTCATCTTTTTCAGGTATTAAATCATTTTCGAAGTAATTGTTAACGAAGTTGGTAGGTAAATTAACTGATGATTGAAATCGAATATATACATGGTGTTTTGTTCAAATCAGAGTTGATATTATTCATGAATAAAAATTAAGACGAAAAGCAAAGTCATCTTATTTTAGAGTTTTTTTTTCGGAATACTGTTTCTGCACAGTTGTGAAAAGGAGGAGGAAGGAAAAAGATAAATAAAATAATATTACATCGTACTTGAAGCTGCCGTGGATCGTTTCATCTGTTACCGCGACTGTCAACGCGTTAAAGTAAATATAACTTCTGCAATTTTTTAATCAAATGGAAATCCCGTTGGTCGTAAAGTAGGTACATGCATATCTCACGTAATTATGTTTATGTTTCTTCGCTTCTGTTCATCTAATTTTCATGATTCCTTTTAATGTCTCGATGGAAACGTAAAAACTAAAATCAAACTGGTTAAATATATTCCTTAGAATCCAATTTCATTATTTATCAGTTGGTTTACATTATGCAGTTACTGAATTTTAAGTATTTTTAGAGATTCGAAAATCTAATAACTGCTGAGTAAGTATTCCAATTTGTCCATACTACCAGGAAACAGAATCTATTCAGAATGTGATTCGTCGTCTTGTTAAGTGTGAATCGAATTTACATTTACATTAGTTGCATACATATTCGCCAGTGTTTACAATTTCTCATCTATAAGGAAGTCATGAAGTAGGAAGAGATGTCGCTAGATAGCATCAGTGTACAGACCGTAGAAAGAATGAGCTTCTGTTCACAGCGTGCCAGTCGCAAAGTGAAACGTGTTTGTAGCCATATTAGTTGTAAACAAAGTAGTCGATTTCAATGTTTGCTTAGTGAGTACGTCTTGCATTCGATGAATGTAATTCGGTGATTCTATTATGTTAACATGTCACTGAGCATTGCTCACACCATCTGGACTTGAACACATTTTTTATACAAAATTACAAATTACAAATTACTAAGACACCTATAAACGAGTAATTAAACACAGAAACAAATTCATTTTCCGAGTAAATTCTATAACTCATCAGAAAGAGAACTTGAAATCGATTATTTAGAATATCGTGGATAGACCATCGAAAACACTTTTCCCATAAATAAATGACAAAGCACGCCACCCAGAGAGAGGGATGATTTTATTTTCATTTTCCAAAAGCCTGCTTCAGGATATTGAAGGTGAAAAGTCGAACGAGGGCGACCCTGGGACCACGAGCCTCGAATCAGGGCGACCAATCGTTTTCCCTGACAATTCTCGAAGGTGAGGCCGCAGGTAAGAGGGAAACCGTCGATGCAACGAGGCAGGGCCCGTAGTGCAGCCAGTTGCATCACCGACCGGCATCGCTGCGCGAGCGATTCCGCGCTCACGGGATACTCGCGGCTCACAAACGACGTTTCTCCTGTCGATTTCTCGGCTTCACCACGCGAACTACACGACAGTTGCAATTACATGTTCGGTTACACCGTCCGGCGACGAAAGAAAAATTCCAACGAAATTGGTTTCAATAATCTCCTCGTAAATGGGTACATAAACAACAAAGACTGTAAAAAACGTAATTGAGTTCGGCCGCTGTCGCCTCGACGACACGCAGGAAACGCGATTTCAGTTGTGAGGAAATACCAGTCTCCACGATGGTTCCACGTGCAATTCTAGTGAATTTTAGAATTTTTTGTGATTAAAGCTAAAATGTTAGAGGAAAGATTGGGAGGCGTTGTATTTTGCAACTTTTGTGAGCCTTTCTATCGTGGTCTTTCAATATTTTAGTTTCTGTATGTTTGGATGTTTGACCAGTCTTGTACGTCGTGGTGATTAGACAGTTCTTGTGTTTTTTTTTTGATTATTTAAGATAATATCTGCAGGTTTAGATGTTTGATCAGGTCTTCGAATATTTGAAATAGTTTCTATTGGTTTGGATGTTTGACCAATCTTGTACGTCGTGTTGTCTAGACAGTTTTTGTGATTCTTTCAATATTTAAAATAGTTTCTACAGGTTTGGACGTTTGAACAGGCCTTTGAATATTTAAAACAGTTTCTGCAAGTTTCAACATTAGTCTAGTCTTGTAAATCTTGACAGTTCTTGTGATTCTTGTATATTTAACAAGTTCAGATGGCTGTGATTATTTGATAGCATTGGTTATTTAAACAGTCTTTAAAGTTTTGAATATTTGACAATTCGCATGATTCAATCTTCAAATGATCTTCATAGAGAAGTAAAAGTAACCCAAAAATTGCAGTCCAATGGCATCAGAAGAATTACCAAAAACTTTGTCTACACCCCGAAACAATTCCAAAACTCTTTCTCAAAGTGACACGACATTCAGCACACAGTTGCATCGAGGAATATACGAATCGAACGATTTTTCAATCCTCAGTAGAAGGAAATGAATCAGATCGTTTAAAAATATTGAAAAAAAGTTTTCAGACTGTTTCTTGTACAGTGGCTAAGGTTGCCACAAGTTTTCAGGAAAGTTACAATAAAAATAAAAGAGTTCATTTTCAATCTGTGAAGAGAATTTTGATAACCGTGAATTAGTGAAGATACTTTACGCAGAACGAATAGGACCATAACTTATTGGCCTTGCAGAGCGCATTTTAGAGGGAGAAAGTCGCGGTTGCATTGAAAGCCAGCGAGTCTGAAGCGTTCGTCGCCTGACGAAACAGTACCAAGTATCATTCTGCTCAATCGCGTCGTAGCACGACAAGCGTGTCTACTTAAAACAATCGACAATAAAACGATCCTCGTGTTGGCGTCGTTTGTCGCGGAGTAGGCGCGAATCTTGTATAAAAATAGACTTTACATAGGCTACTCGATTTCAACATTTGCATACATGGCAAGGAAGTAGTATTTCTGATGGACATTGTCGCTGCATTTTTTCCTCGGTTCGACGTTGAATATTTGGTGGAGTGTTGTGGAATATCCAATGAAAAAATTGCAAAGATCTCCGTTCGGTATGATTGAGGCTTGCAAAGTGCTTCGATGACGATTGCTGATTTTTCTTGTAACGCTTCGAGTTAGATGATCGATCTTTGATTTAGTGTTTGGATAACGTGTTGGTATTAAAGGATATTAGTTCCAAATATTTCTGACGTATCTACAGAGGCGCAGAAGTGCATCCTAAGGTGCTAAGGTTGTAAGAACGAGGATTTCAAAAATCTTTGGCAGAACACTCCTCAAGGAAACAGGATTTACTTCCTACATTCTCTCCTGTAAAGAGATACAAGGAGATCAAACATTACGAAACCACTAAATTCCACTAAATTGCCATTTGAAGTCATTTAGCCGAAAGAATTTCCAAGCTATTTTATCTAGGAAAGCAAAAGTAGACTGTAGACCAGTTGCAGTAAAAAATCTCCAAAGAGTTCTTTCCAAATCCTTAACGAAAGAAACTCAATTTTATACAACAAGAATTCCAAAACACACAGGAACACGCAAATAGATTCAAAACTGCCGAAACCAATTGCAATACAAACATCTCGTGAAAATTTCCAGATCTCTTTCCATAACAAGTAAAAAAAAATCTCAAAATTATGCCCTGTCTGAAACTTCGATCCATCCTAAACACAACAAACCGCACTTTCCCTAAAAGTTTTTACCCATTGACACGTTGACTGCCATTAATAATCGTCAAAATTCCTACGAGGCTAAACTTTAGTTTTCATACAATTAGAAACGACACAATCTAACATCTGCGGTAGTACTTCATTTTTGTGATCTCTAGAATTTACCCGTCTTATCCAAATCAATTTTCTTCGACATCTCGCTTTCAGAATTAATTTATTTATTCCTCATTCCTCGTCCTTGGCATCCATATGTGGGTGACGTGGCGGTCAACGTGTTAAAATTAAAAAGTGCCCCGCCTGAAATCCTCGACACGCGAGACAGTCGGGTGGCGGAGGCCTAGCGAAAAGTCTCTAAAAAAGATTCTCTAGGGAGTTGACAAAAGAAAGGAACGAAAACGAAACCGGTCTGAATCTCTCTGCACGAAGAACGATATCGCGAACAGTCGGCGGCACGCGCTCAGAACCGCATCGGAACGCGTCAGTCCGGGAGGTTATCTCTCCAGCGGATACCGGGTTGTCGAATGACGTGACTCCGTCGGTCAGCGCGCTCTTTCTCGAGCAGAGTCGTTCGCGAATGTGACGAGAGGGTGCACGATGCCGCAGGAGAACGAGATAACCGCGTTGGTGAACGGTGGTACCGATGGTGCGTCCTTGAAGGAGGATCGACAACCGAAGGAGATCTTCGGGGAGGATCTGCCGAAGGACAAGGTCGAAGGTGGACAAGGGCACCAGGAGGACCCGAACGGGATGCCCGAACTAAAGGACGACGTCGTCCAGGCTGACGACGAGGAGGTCGCCTTGGATCTCGGAGAACCCTCTCCGGAAGTAATGGAGTACGCCAGAAGGGAGATAGGGGAGACGGAAGAGGTCAAGTGTCGAACCATTCAAGAGCTGAGGGACATGATTTACGGTAATTGGCATTTTCTTGGTCGGCTGTGGTTTAGGCCTGTCGCGTCTAATTGGTGCTGGGACTTCCGTGACGTTGCTTGGGAATTTTTTTAACGGGTCGAGATTGTCAGGCTTGAATAATTCTGGGAATGTTTTCTGAGAGTGAAGCGAGCTGGAAAGGTTTTAGTTGAGTTAAGGTGTTGAGAAGTCTTGGAGAATATGAGAGACTTGATTGTTTGAAACGTTTTGAATGTTTTAAATGTTTAGCGAGTATTTGAAGGCACCGGAGTGTCTTAAATATTTGTAAAATCCAAGTGTTGGATATTGGGAAACTATTAGGGGTTCTTCAATATTTCAAGACTCCCGAGTACCTTACATATTCACGTAATGTATGCGTTGAATATTTCAGAAATTGTAAAGGTTCGTAAATATTTTAACAGTCTTGAAAGTCAAATAAAAATTGTTACATCTTAATATGCTAAATATTTGACAGTTCTTATTAATCTCCTACGTTAAAGAATTAAATAGAACTTTCTTATGTATCACTGAGATAGCATTGCATACTTTCATCATTATATAAATAATGAAATATGATGTAAATGATTAAATTTAATTACATGTCCAAACGCTACCGATGAATAAAGTGTTAAGAATTTGATTAAGAATTCGAAAACTCAAGTATCTTTTAAATGTATAATATGGTCTCGAAGACTTAAAAATCTGACGAGTCTTAGATACCCGCAAAAACTCGAATACTTGAAAAATGTAACAAAATTCCTGAATTCCAAGAAAGTGCGAAATGTTTTAAACATTGGAAAGCCTTCAAATAGTGTTGGATGTGTTTGGAAAACTTGAAAAATTTAAATATCCATAGACTGTGGAATATTGTGAACATTTAACAACGCTTATATAACATACTAATCTGTGTAATTACAATTCCCCGAGGCACTTCAATCATTTTTATGCCTCGAAGCTTACGAGTTTTTTCACAGTTCTTGAAATTATGCAACGTTATATTATATTATATCTGGAACATTTGGAAACCTTGAAATCATTTGTTCGTGAAATCGTTTAAGATACTCTTGACGGTGCTCGTGGTTATCGTTACCATAGACAAGAATCAGCTCCTGTTTATCTTACGCAAGTGTGTTTATCATGGTTGCCGGGAGTGTGAACATTGTTTAGACGACAGTTACACGTGGAGTATGGTGAAACCGAAATAGTTTGTCAAGTTTTAAATAAAGCAGCGATTCACAATTAGTCTTCCGTTTACCGTCTTGCGGTTTATAGTTAAAAATAATTGAAAATATAATGTATGCATTGAATGTGCTATTCGATAGTTATTTTTATTAAAAGTCTCTGTTCCAAGTTTTTAAGATATTCAGGATTTTTTATTTTGTTTAGACTTTTTATCAAACAACAAGAAATTGGTAGTAAACGATCGGCTATTACATATTGTAGTTTCCGCGTATCCTCTTTTATGTTTATCGTCTCTTGTTTAATAGGCAATTCCTATATGGTATAAAAGAGGACTTTAAACGCCCATATCGTCGCAAGAGTCTCCAAGATGCATCAAACTTTAAAGGGTTGATTCCGACACTGATCAATAAATTACAAATTTTATGCATTATGCATGAAAGCAAATACTAAGGAACGCAGGGTATTTTTCGTAAATCAATATAACAGCATTAATATTTCATTACGCGCAAGTGCATTTCTCCAGAAGACGTTTAGTATATATTTTTCATATTTGAATTCATTAATTTTCCATTTTCAAATGAATGAACAATCTTCGATTCGTTATTTGCTTAATAAAAATTACAATTTGAATCGTAAAATAAAATTGTAAAAGGTACAATGTGATTATAAAATAGATTTATAATAATTACAAACTGAATCAGTAAATAAATTGATAACCCACACTGAAAGAGTAATAGTAATAGTAGATGTCGTTACGATAAATACATGTTGCAGCATGTCAGAAATTGTTTGAACACATTCCCCAGAATGGATACGAATCATCGATTTCAAACGTAACCACTCACGTGGAATTCTGTTTCACAGAGAGGGGTGAGTGTCAGCCACACAGGATGGACGATGACTTCCTGATCAGATTCCTCAGAGTAAGAAATTTCAACGTCCATCGCGCCCATCGATTGGTAAGTTAGTCCCTAATATAGCAATTTTGACCAACACTATCTTCAGAGATGAATTTCTAACTCAGGAATCATTAAACACATAGACTTTCCACCTTCTTTATTTCAATCGAATAGAATGAAGCTCCCAAAATAAATTTTGCTCGAATTGTGAAAGTGGTTTTTAGAACATATAAATATTTGAGACTCAGCCAACTTCATTTGGAATTCAACTGTATGCAAGGAAGAACGTCTCGCGTGTCACGTTCGACATGCGTGCAATGGGTTCGTCACCCCTAGGCGTAATGAGTAATTAGTTGAGAGGAATAGACAGTGTTTGCATGGTCCTTGGTAGGCACTGCTATTATCGTGGCCTCGAAAAGATCTCCGGAATTCTACTCAATTACTGTGTTGGAATCTGAGCAAAAAGAAAATAAATGGACTCGTAACGTTACCGTCTAATATGCATATTATATAGACTCCTTGTGATAGCCACGGAATTATGACACAGCACACAGTCTAACATAGTAATTAATGCTAAATGCTAGGTCTTCGCTCTGAGTTCGAACATCGAGTCTCGGATGCTCGAGGATGATTGAGATTAGAAGGTGCTCCAGGCATAGTTTTTCAATCTACGATATCTCAACAAGCGGAACCTAATTCGTCAATGTATTGAAGGTAAAAGTTAATGACAAATGAAACTGAATTTGTTCGTAAAGCAAATTACGACCAACTAATTCAATCCTTATGGTTATTTTATATGTGTACGAATTTGATCGCATTCCAACATAAAAATTGATAAATTCAATTTTTGTAGATTGTCCATTCAAGTCACTTTCATAATTATTAGCTTACACTCTTCTTAATTAATTAAAAATGTTTTCTTAAATAACTGAGAATATTTTAGAAATACTTCGAAATTACCACCTGACCGTATCAATGTCAAATAAGTGACAGCTTGTCTTAGGAGAGATTCTATCTCAATTTAGCTCAGAGTTTCGACAATTTCTTCATCGATCCACTAATTTCGAACAAAGTAGTTAACATACTATAATTGAGGTTAATTATCCTAGGCAATGACTCGTGACACGACGCCACAGAGGTTCTCGTCCAAGTGGAACACGTGTCTGCGTACTTAGAATTTCTCCAATATGGAACTAAAAATTCACGAACGATTGGATAATTTGCAACCTGGTAGAACCATGGCGTGATTTGTCAAGCGAGCCTAGTCGCAATAGTTGCACAACCATACTAAGGCTGGCTAACGGGCAGACAGGTATCTAGCGTGATGGAAAATATTGCCATAAGAGGATTGAAGCTTTTTCTTTCGAGCGTCCGAATTCCACGCAATCTAGCTGTTCGTTTCTACGAAAACATGACCATACTTTGCTCCAAATAATAATAATCCATCAAAGTATTCGTCACGATTTATCTTCTGTGTTTCTGAAGGAATTGCGCTCGATTGCGTTACCTGTCATTACACATGCAATTGTCAACGCAAAAAGAAATTCTTTATACACTAAAGGACTTTCCAAAGCTGTTACCTTGCATTTAGGAAGAAGATAATTACGAGAGGTTATTGGCAATTGGCGTTCCCTAATTCGCCATGTTTTATTCTTCCTAAAAAAAATTTATACAAATTACCAAAAAATGTACTACTAAACCTACTTCCTCTCTCACAGTAAGTAATCTCCATGTGAATAAATAGACATGCCACAGTCCTTCCCTTTTATGGTTGTCTTCGACTATGAAAAGAAAAATGTCACATGGGACGAGATCAGCTTAACAGGAAAGGTGAGATTGGTGTCGCAACTAGCGTCATGTTGTGTCACGTCAAGAATTAAAGATTGATTGGCTCACTCCAAACAGCATTCCTACCAACAGTGGTTCAAACGAGAATTCTAGAAATGTTTCCAAAAATGGCAGAAACGCTGGGACAAGTATTTGTTCACATCCGGAGTACTTTAAGGAGTAGGAATCTCTAGTAATCAAAGTTCACCAGTTAACACAGACCACCACAAAGATATTCACCTGTCGACAAAGATCACTTCTTGAAAAGCATCTCCACCCATTCGTCCTTTTTCCAATCGAACACTTGATTACATTTCAAACAACATTCACCGTCGAAGAACCCAGACAATTCTCACAGCGATCTCCTAATTGTCTATATGTCTTGCGACTCGACTTCTGTCATCGCCAGACGATCGAACCTTAAACGATCCTGAAACGATTAACAAACAAAGGCGCCGAACTTAAGGAATCTCGATCAAGTAATTGAAGTGGCAGAATGGGACGATTAGTCGAGCACCGGCATTCAATCGAAGACCATTTAGGAATCAGAGCCAGTTCCCTTGACGCCTCAATCTCCAACGCGTTAATAGTTTAATGCTGTCAATTATTCCTCGGATCAATCGATCGCTGTTCACCTTACAGCCGTGGAATTATCGCAGCGAAACTGGCCGCTGACAATAGACACGTAACTTCTCCAGCACTTCATCGAATCCTATCGTGTCAAAGATTTCTTATGTTGGGAATCGATGGTGTGCTGCAGTGGATAACGTAGGTCATCCTAGAGTCATTATCGAAAATTTATTAATCCTCCGTATTGAGAGTTGAGCTATTTACTTGCTGCTCAACCACCTCACTGTAGAAGACAGCCATCATTAGTGAATACTGGTCAATTACAGGCATAATGAAACTCTTAATGACTAGAATGAACCCTCTTTTTCTTTTGAACAACCTCCCTCAAAAATTTATATCATCTCATCCTGTACATTGAGTTTTTAGCTATTTAACTGGAACTCAAATATCTATGAATAGAATATACAGTCTCCAATGGCTAACATGCGTCACTTAAACACATAATCAAAGTCCTGATAACTAAGATCAACCCGCTTTCTCTTCAAAACGACCTCCCTCGACTAGTGACGTCAATAATTTCTCCACAGTGAGATCCCCAGCCATCAAATGAAATTTGACCGCATGTCAATAAGAAACCTAGGGTTCACTAGTCACCACAGGTCTCCAGAAGACATGATCGAACACAAACCAAGTTACCACCGCTTGGATCGTTAACAGAGTTGATTGCGTCCCGCTCTGTCTCGAATTCCGGCTCAATCCGAGAGACTTTTTCCCAGACGTGTCCCCTCGCCTCGTTGAATTCGCCTGCGATATGCTTGAATAATTGCTTTCACAATCTCTCTCCAGCTCCAAGAGCATCCCTTTGTACCTTGATCACACTGTATCCCCCTTTGCAGCGACATTAATTATTTGCTGGCCTTTGGATGTCTGTTCAGCGACTGTGAAATCTTGATTCGCTTCGTGGACAGGTTTCATCGGATTACTTGGATTCCTGTTTGTCCAGGGATGAGCTCTATTTTCTACTTTTCGAGGATGTTCGTTCCCATTCTACACGAGGTGAAACGATGGGTTGTTCAGTGAGATATAAGAGATGATAACCAGTGTTCAGGTTTTAAAACTAAATAATGACAACGTAGGTGCTTAATCCAATTCTACCACTTTTTATGAAACTTTACACAAAAATAGAGCATTGAAAAATATGATACATGTTCGAGGGGTGAAAAATACCTTCCAAGTTGTGGATTAAATACCTGTTTAATCGAATTTCTCAAGAACTGATGGAAATGGGTAGAAATGTTACCAAGTCATAGATAGTACCATTGTAGCCAATTACACTTATGTATTGTATATACATGGTGTTCGTTAATTAGGAGCCTCAATAAATTCAGTTTCTTTGTCAGAATTCTATCATTGGCATTTTTGAGTACCATAACTTCTTTATATTAATTCATGCCATTTGTTGTCGATGACGGAAAATTAAATACTGCAAGGTGTCAGCCTCATAGGTCAAGTAATCGTGTTGTTATAATCCTTGAACAGTCTAAGATGACATCTGACAGCTTTGTTTCATCATCTAATTTCATCCCCACCACTATACTACTTCTTCAAGGATTCTCTCTAACTTGTCGAGCTATCCATACACTTAAATTGGAAATGTTCATTGCCATTTGCTATCAATTACCCTATAACTGATATTTGAAATTAAAAAAGAGGAATTTCCTCTTTTTCTTCGTCAAATCATATATGAAAATCAGACTTTAGCCAAAGTTTCTGTGCTGTATGTAGACCTCTGATCGTTCAGAGTTGCCTCAGCAGCAAAATTACCAAATTCCAGCCCCTTCCTCTCAAGAGATTTTTCGATAGATAGTGAATTACTACAACTTCAAAGAGGAACACCCAGAAATTCATCAGGATGTGAGCCCATTGGAGATGAGGTACATCGGAGACGACGACGTGATGACGGTGCCGGCGTACAGGACCCAGTGCGGCAGAAGGATAATGATCTATCGATTGGGTAACTGGAATCCGAGAAAATATCCCGTGGAGGAAATCTTCAAGGCCACGGTTATCATCCTCGAGCTGGGAGTCCTGGAGCCAACCGCACAGATTCTTGGTGGCGTCGCCATTTTCGATCTACAGGACATTATGATGGCACATGCGTGGTCAATCACTCCACAGGTACCAATTTTCATCATCTATTCAATGTCCTTCGGCTTACGTAAACACATATTGCGGTGAATTTAATTTTATGTTGACTTATTCTCTATGAAGTAAAGGTGACCATTTGGTATTTCCTGGACCACAAGAAATATTAAAAATCGATGTACCGCGAGCTGGATGACGTTGAGATTTCCTTACATTTTCTTATTTGCTTATTTGTCAAGCCTGAGGGCAATGGTATGCTAATTTCCAATTAACAATCAAAAACGATCAAGCTATCCGGCCGCAAAGATTGCTCATGCATTCGATAAGTGACAACCGTTTAATTGAATGAAACGCCATTCTGCTTGCTAATTTATCTCAGCATGGTGGCTTGGATACCGATATCGATCTGCTTTCAGCGTTCTTGAAACTTAAACCATTTATAAAGCCCTTGAAACTAATAGTTCCTCCTTTTATCCGGCCACGTTCTGTTATATTTATTCATCCCGCGCGAATCTAGTGGAGTGGCTGCCCGGTCTGGGCACTAATGGTGTCCTTGAAACTTCAACAATCCGTAAAGTTCTCGACACCGATATTCTTCCATGCATCTTCGAGCTCGTCCATCCCCTTCGCTCCCCTGCGACGCATCATCGATTCGAAGACGGAACGAAACGAGCTACTTTGTGCACAGTCTGCGACGTTTCTCGACGTCAAATGTCTGGAAACTTTAAGACGTGCGATGTTTGTCTCTGCATGACACGGGTTAGAGACCCTGGGGCTGTTGCGTTAAATTCCAGCTGTTGAAAGTAATCCAGGAGAAAACGTTGCCATGCCTTGAGGCGTTCCTACACTCCGTTAAGTGAATACCGAGAATTATTTAGTAGAATACAAAATATTACCTTGATCATCCAACTATATTTCGTTGATTTCAAATTGGGCTCCATTTAACGTGATGCACTCACGCCAACGAATAATTCAGTTTTCGAAACACTTTGTACTTGCATTTTTCGATATGCCTTTCAACTTCTTCAACGAATTATGTTTTATGGCTTCATTCGAAACGTTTTCCACGAAGTGGCATCTCCGTCAACCACCGATCAACCATCTCCTTATCATAAGTATTTGCTATTGTATCCTATCACTTAACAATTTTGTTATTAATCTCCATGGCATGGGGTATCATCAGTTACTTCTTTGTGGATATCAGGGATTGTTCTTATCGCGCTTGGTCGTACTCAAAACTGATTGCTCGGATTCATATATGATTCATATCACCACTCTTGACTTTTAAATGTTAATCAATGATCACCACTAACTATGATGTTCCTATATAGATGTTGTGTATCTTTATAGATCCCACTATCAATCTCCTAAGGCAACAGCTCCAAGGCGTCGCACTTTCCTCTTACTCGTGCCTCCACGCCTCGAACCCGTTTAATACCCTATTAACGTCTTTTAATGTATATAATCGGTAGTATCTTTCCATAAGTAGCAAGCCATAAATTGGATCATCAAACTGCTCCATAAATGCTTGTTATTCCTTCTATCGAACCTTCAAAGCAAGATCACCTGCGCATCGAAACTTTCCGTTCTACTTTCCTACTGATTATCAACTCTGAATCAAGCCTCTTCAAGGACCCGCAATTTCTCCTATATTCAAGCATTCTATTAAATCATGGAATGGCTCTAACAGGTCTAATTAGACCTAACGAGAGAAATCTAGAAACCGACTTCCCATGACAACTTCGCGTTGCTTCTAATCGGTCTAACAGTTTCTGGTATTTTTGCAGGTGGCCAGTATGGTGATAGCTTTGATGGTGTCGGCGTTCCCTATGAAGACCCACGCCATACACATCCTCCATCAGTCCTGGGTGTTCGATGTGATGTTCGCCGTGTTCAAGCCGTTGCTAGACGTCAGGATGCAGAACAAGATTTTCTTCCATGGCAGCAATATGGAGAGCCTCCATCAGCACATCTCGCCCAATCACTTGCCGAAGAAGTATGGCGGAACGCGGGAGGAATTGCCTTACTACAAGTGGATCGACAACCTCAGCAAAACCCCTAGGATCGTCAAAGAGATGAAGCAACTCGGTTACGTGGTACCCCCAGAGATCTCCAAGAAAATGGGACATCTGCTCGACGACTGAGCCCGACAGGAACTCCTGGGATCATACTTCTCAAACAATTTACTTGCACTTTCAATTAATACTTGTACTCACTTTCTGGTGGCACGCTAGTTTGTACAAAGCGTTTCACAGGATAACATACACCTTTTATATTTCCTTAAATTTGTATCGTCCTCACCATAGCGTATTCTATCTTCCCCTAATTAAATGGTTGATGTTTCTTTAAACAGGTAACGTTGGTTTATTTAAGCGTAAAATCCCCGGGTTGCTCGTACGTTCAGCACAAGTCTCGAGTATGTACGACTCGAAGGCTTTCATGTTCTCAATTATGGAACTGGAGTATCGATTAAGCGTTGCGAAGAAGCGATTTCGTGTCTTCTCTTCAGCGAGGGAAGTCTCGCCCGCGCTGAAGTGTCACTGGGTCGACGATTTCAAATTCACACTTTCCTATCAAAAGTCCTTCCAGCGGTGCCAACAGCCAACCGTCTGGGTCATCCATAATTATGAGTCCTGCTGACGAATTCATCGATAGAGTTTTAGAACGAGCGCGCTTCCATTCCTTCTGATTTCAATATTTTTAATTTGGAGGTATATTGTTTCGGTAGCGGTAATGGAATTACAATATTTTTAATCATTTATGATACGAACGTTTTTTTAATTTTTCGATTGTCATTCTGGTTCTCCTGAGTATCTCCGGAAGTTCGATTTTCTCCGATGAAAATAGAACTTGCGAATTCAGTCTGCGGAACACTAAAAGCTTACATCTGTAGCGTTCTGTTTTCTAAATATATAATCACTTTTGGCCTAAAGCTCTAAACATGTACTGAAATTAGAATTTTCTAGAGTGCACGAATCTCCCCGTGTAACAAAATTTCCACAAATTTCGGCCTTAAGGTTCGGTTACTAATTTTTAAATTAATAATTAAACGGTTCGATGAAACAGTGTATATTGATATTGATTTAATGAAAATTTTTGCGATTTAAAAGCTATCGACAAAACAGTAGATGCGAAGTTATACGTTGTTTAATCTGTTGTCAATTTCTTTAGGATTACAAAACTTATTTACATCTTAAATAAAAAATAATAATTCCACTCTTAAGAACTAACGTCATTGAATTTTTCACATCTTATACACTATTTTCCTGTTTTTTGAATGTAAAGTAATAATTACATTTCGACGCCATCACATTTTTCGTATCCTGTTTATTAATCTCCTGAACCCGAAATGAAAAGTGATAATCGAATTTTTGATAGCCGACATTGTCAAATTTTTTACATTCTGTCTGTTACTCTTCTAGTTGTCTATTCCCTAAATATTTCCTGAATTGCGGAGCTTGCCTCAGAGCGTCCACGATCCATCGATAAATAAATGATTTAAAACAATTTAGCACGAAGTCCAATTGATGCGAAGTCTTTACCGAGTTAGACAGCTACAGAAACGAATATCAATTGCCGTCTTTTTGTCTATAAATTATTATTCTAAAAATTCATATCAAGCTAATTTTCCTTCAAGAATCCCCATCGCCAAGTTTGAATTTCATTTGGAGCCATCCTCCCACAATCCTCTGGCACGTGTAGGTTCATTGCAAAAAGGGCTTCCCACGTTCGAAACGAGGTAGGTAGGTTCTGTGATAAAACACGAGCGCAACAAATCTAGCGTAAGAAGCGCGATAAGAACACAGAAAGAGTCTGGAACACGAGGTCCAGAATCGAGACCCCAATTATCAAGGTTTGACGACCCATTAACGAATCAGCGATAGGTGCCCTGATGAGATTAACGTTGATCCTGTCAGACCCACCCATTAGACCAACATCCTTTCTATACTTTGATCAGCTACGCGAATAACATTTCTCGAGAATTCTGATCACAGATTCTGAATTCCATCTAGAGGCATTTCCTCCAGGTCAGCGATATACGTCCATTTCCTTGCTGAAGGCCTTCGTGCTATCGGAAGAGAGTAGCCGAGTCCTGTGATAAGACACAAGCGCAACTTCGTATCATCACAGGTTTGAGGTTCGTCTTCTAGTGTTGTTGTTTCATACATCATCAGTATCATTGAACACTCCTTGCAATTACTCGTGATTAGAGTTTTACAGGAGCTTGAAGTACTTGCCTCAATGAGATGTAGCAACAGAGAGGGCTACTTTCTCGTTTTTAGTCGGCTCTTGAACACTCGTTAGAATAAGAATCCCTCCGAGTGGTAACTGGTACAAATAATCAGTTATTTTTAGTTAGATAAGTCGTTAAAAGATCAGCGACAGGTCCATCTAACAGGTCAGGTAGCGGAAGGGATACCCAAAGAGACCAATGCCGATCTCGAGACAGCATCCTGTCAATATCCTATCCAATAACGTATCCTTTTCATAAAATCTTTTTATTACCGAATCATCCAGAGCAACGATTCATTCCGGAGTTATCAGGTCATCCCATGAGTTCATGTCACTTAATGTTCTGCTATTCAAATTAACATATGGAATATAATTTTCGAGTGTTACGAATAATCACTCTCTTTTTTATCAATCTATTCCCAGCTTTCTGGCAATGCCATCATCAACCTAATACTTTCCGTATTCTATGTCCTCTTAGCAACCCCTAGCATTGTCCAGAACATTAGATAGTCTAATACTTTTTGTATTTTACGTTCTCTTAGCAACTCATAGTATTGTCCAGAACATTAGGTAGCCAGGTTTTGCATTAAGACGCCAGCGTACCAACCCCACGATAAGACCACAGTCCAGGACACGCTAGGCAGAGTCAAGCTTCCCTTAACCAAAGTTTGACGACCCGTCAGCGGATAGGAGCACAGTACGGGGCGGTGAGCGTCCAGGTGAAGAGATCAACGCGGATCCTGTCAAAACAAGCGTACCGTGGAAGCGTGGAGGCACGGGAGGAGGATGGGTGACCGACATCGAAGCAATTCACGGAAAACGAGCGAAGGGTGCAGCTGGGTCGGTAGGTACGCGTAGGTAGGGCAGAGAGCGGCGCGGGTAGGGCCTGTCGTGCACGCGCTGGGCTTTGTGGTGGTTGATATCGACCCGCGGTAGAGGGTCGGAGCTGTCGAGGGTCGCATGGCGCAAGCCTGGACGGGAACGAGGACGAGGAGGTGAACGGAGGCGGCTGAGGCGAGGAGACGGATGGAGAGAGTGGCTCCGCTTCCCTCCGAGGAGTGAAGAGAGATCGCCGGCAGTAGTAACCCGGCCAGTACCCCGCGCGCGGGTGCAGCTGCATCCGAAATCCCGTGTGTGTGAGAGTGCGTGAGAGTGCCCAGTCGGCGTGTGTGATCCCGGTCGAGATCACCAGGGAAAAACGATCCACGAGGGCGGAGAGAGTGCGGGCCTGACAGGGCTGATAGGATCATCCGGAGTAAGCATCCGTGCTAACAGGGTGTGCAAGGCCAACCGCGACGAGGGTGAGACCGCTACCTTGGTCTTGGGTGTCACTCGGTGCGGTGATCGGGTAGACGCTCACCACGGGCAACTGGAGCTCGCGGAGTGCCCGACGCGATGTCGCGACGACGGGGTCGTAGCTGAGTTCACGTGGGTGGAAGACGCGAGGCGGACGGAGGAGTCGGTACCATGCCAAGACTGTGAGAGGGAACGCACATCGAATACCGCCATGTCACGAAGATTAGAAACCTCGAACGAGGATTCGTACCTGAACGCTGGCAGGCCATCGAACCTCCTGCGGACGAGCTTCAGCAGCGCCAAGCTAGAGTCCCTCTATCGCGCCTCGTCCTTGCAGCAGAGACGCGGCGGCCTCGAGTGCTTTCTGCTTTCGGCCCTCCTCTATGGAGCGCACACGATCGCCTCGCCTGGCCAGGAGCTGGCCGCTCGCGGTATCACTGCCGTCTTCTTGGGATTGAACCTCGGACTGCTCGCCTGGGCCGAGCACAACCCCAGAGCCAAGGACGTGCTCTGGTCGGTGGTGTCTTACGTGGCTTGGCACCTCTCGATCGGCCAGTTACTCGCTCAGCTGCTCCTCAAGTCTACCGAGGTCACGCCTAGGGACGGACTAGGATGGTTGTTGCTCCTGCTCTACCTGCAGCTCGCCACCCTGCCCCTCAGGCTCCTGCAATGCACACAGCTCGCGAGCGCCACTGTGCTCGTGTATATCGTCGCGGTGAACTCGGTGCTTGGACACTCCAAGGCAACGGAAAAGATACCCTTGGATGTTTTGGTAGGTTCCCGTTTCTACGGTAATGTTGGGCGTAGAATGATTGGATGAGCTTGGACAGATAGGCGACCTTTTCAGGGCCGGGATTTACACGTTACACGAGGAATTTAATTGCTGTCTAATTAGATTGCCTGAAACACCTTGTCTTGATCTGTCTATGTAGGTTGTCGTTTATACGCTAATGTTGGGCGTGGAATAATAAAATTGTTTGATGATGTTTGATGAACTTGCAAAGATAGATGACTTTTTCAGGGTCGAATGTTTTCACACGCTGTGAAATTAAATCGTAGATTGTTGTTTGCACGTTAATGTTGGGCGTGGAATGACAACAGCTCAGTTTGCTAGGACAGTTGCCACTTTGGGGAGTGAGAGTACTTCCCAAGGGGCATAACGGTTCATTAATTAGGCCATTAGTTTGTCCATAGATCGATGCTGTTTATGGGAAAACAATCGTTTGATGATGGACGTTTCAAAAACAGTTATCATCATTGAGGGTTTGGTACTTTCCGCGTAACGGGTTTGTTCATTGATTGGTTTATTCAACACTCCTGCCTAGATACTCGGTGATGTTTTGATAGGCTATTCTCTGCAAATTGACGTTGCTTGTAGTCGACGATTTGTTGATTGGTTTGGCGATAACAGTTGAAACTTTTAGAATTGAAGTTCTCGTATATATTGTCCGATTCGACTGACCACGTTATTTGATTTGCTTTTCCAAGTGCTGTTGATCCAAGTTTTGCTCGATTACTGACCTGGAAATTAATGTTGGCTATACATAACCTATGATTTGTCGATGACAGCTTTTAGATCACACGTTGAGAAATTGTTGTTTGACTGAACTGCTCGCATGTTTTAGTAGGTTAGCCTCTATAAATTGATATCAAGGGAACCGATGGATGGTGATGGATTCAGCAGTGGTAGTTTCTTCCTTAGGGACTACAGTCCTTCTATACGTTACCAAATATATCTGTTGATCGATTGGACCATTCACGGTACTTGAGAAAGTATTCGATCAAGTTTTGGTAGGTTAGTGTCAATAAATTGATATTGACTATGGGAAACCAATGGTTTAGTGATGGATTTAAACTTGCCAGATGTCATTTTTAGGATTACGGTCTTCGCATCTGTTGAGTAATGCATCCGTGATTGATTGAACTGCTCGGAATATTTGACCAGACATTTGTACAAGTTTCGGTAGCTAAAGTATAAAAATTGCTGCTGTTGATACCAAAGGTCAAACTCGACGAATTTGGAAAAAAACCTTTGGAATTTTGTAACTCTTTTATGAATCGAATTCTTCGTTATTTAAGACACTTATCCATACATGCTACGAAGTTCTACTAGTTGTTTCAAATCCATAACTTGTACCTATTTCTGATAATGGATTTTGATTATAATAGATTTGAACACATGTTACAATAAAAATTTAATAAATAAACGATGTTCCATATGGAATGACAATACAAATGGAAAACATTAAAGTTCATGTGAACAGAAGACATATTTGATCGAGTGTGATAGAGTTTGTCAGACAGTAATGGACAAATACTCTTCCTGACGGTAATGGAAGATAATTTAGAGAGAAAGAGATAAAAAAGGTATTCAGACATTTAAATACTTCTACTAGAATTCAAGATGCTATTAAATTCGTATATTTTTCTCTACCTTAAATGTTATCCGCTACTGGGATTAGGAAGTTTCAAGTTCTCCAGGATCGAACCTCACTCGAGACATCGATTAGCCATCGAATGAGCGTCGCCGATGGTTCTATTGTCAGGCTTTTTTAATTTACACCTAAAAGTTCTACCTCTGTCCCAACAATTAACAGTTCTGAGCACATCAAACGCTAACAATCGCCATTGTTTTCGCTGACTGGAATGGAGACCGTCGGTTTACCGCGCCAGTGAATACAAACATTCCCACGAGAGGCACCGAACATTATACTTCTCGTGCCAATTCGAGATTTTTCTGGAACACAGTATTAAACACACGACACCATCAGGGCACTCTGTATTTTGCAGTTACTCGAACTTAATACCAAGTAATTCGGTGGTTGCGGTGACACAATGAAATCCGAAACGCAGCCTGTGATTCAGCCTGCGATTGCCAACGTAGGCTGCTACGTTTCGAGCTCGTGGAAACAACTGTTGATTGCTAGAACTTTTGGCACCCCAATTCCGATCTGTGCACGCAGGGTTTCCCAAACTATGTGCTTTGGAACGTAACTTGAGAGATGAACAAGTGTTCCATGAACAATCGATGATTGAAGAAGGAAAGCAATTGATCGAAGTTTTGTAGTTTAAAATACAATCATTAAATTATATTTTTATTTTAACCGTACTTTGCTGTGCTATATCAGGATTAATTCGAACACGTTTGTCAAAGGGAAATTATGTGTGCTGATATAGCATAATGGTTACTTCCTTGTCAACGATAAATTATATTTTTTATATCATACACACATTATACAAATGCACACGCATTGAGCATATAGCTTACAAAATGAATATATTGTGAGGCTAAAGTGTGTCACGATAAAAAAAAGTTTGGGAAACGCTGCTGGGTAGAGCTTCTTACTTGTTTCGATGGATCGATACGCAACGAACGATACATAGCAAAATAACTCGCGCGACTTTCAGCGTGGTCGAGCCCTCGATTATTTTCTTTCTCCACGCAATTTCCCGCTCGCCACGAGCTGGCCAATCCATAACAATTGCGCGTGAAACATGAAACGAAACGTGAAATTCTTTTATTTCTCTATTTGTTCAAATACATTCAACGTACCAGGTCTGCGTTAGGTTAGATACTTCTGATGCGTGTAATAGGTAGTACTTAGCAGCTTTAGGTATGATTTGGATTGAGTTTAGCTAATCTTGATATTACTAGTAGGTGCGTTCAAAGATATATATTTTACTTTTGTTAGTTTAAAGAGAAAATTAAAAATTTCGAGAATAATTTATTAACCTTTGAACGGCTCGAGCGATTGTGGCCAATAAAATATATGTTGCAGATATAATAGAGAAATATTCCATAGAGAAAGAAATATTCTAGATTTTTTTAAGCATTTATACCCATCAGTTACAACTACCATACTTCTTATGTGAAATCTTTAGGTACTATTTTACAAAATACATTTTTCGGAGTCGGCGAAATTAGTAAACGATACTTTAATAAAAATACTGAAAATTTCCTATGATTTCCTACGATGGAAACTTTAAAAATCCATGTTTCACACTTTCGACCAATGCCTTGTACGCAGTGGGAGAACAACATCATCCAAGCATGATTCAGATGCGGAAGCACCAGAGCAAAACATAACGATCTAAGAGCAGAGAATTTTACATAACACACAACGTACGCGCAACAAGTTCACGCGATAGCTGATTAACTTTGCGGCGAACGTAATTGCTCGGCCAATCTGTGTGAAAATGATTCTCGCCAGCGCTGCCCGCAACCCTTATCGATTTCCATGGGAACGAAAAACGAAGGAAACGAAACGCGATAATGGAAACTGAAGAATTCTATTGTGAATTTTTTACGAACATCAAAGGAAACCTTGGGCGAAAATCCATTAAGGAGGAAAGCAACGTAGGTCGTTGTGCCACTTAAAATTCAGTAGGTTTCATTTTTCGTTTGTCGCGTTTGGAATTCCCATAATCGAGGTCCTGGAGCATTTCTGGTTCTTTTGGGTACAGTGATATTATTACTATTAAAAAAGATAAATTCTCTAGGCACGATCAGGCTTCTATTGTATTAAAGAACTACTTCGAGATTATTTTTGGAATTACGGAAAGTAAATTGAAAAACAAAGCAGTAGCATTTTATCTTTCTTCGATCCTTTTTTATTTTCAAATATACTGTACTGTAAATAAACACATGTATTTATTCATAAGAAACGTATATCAGTATTGCCAGCTGCGTCGGTATTATCGTGTAACCAATGCGACATTCAATTCCTTTTCTTCCTTAGTTTATCATTATTATAATTATTGTCATTTTTAATGCAGCAATGTTTTCATTAAGCTATTCAAAGGAACCTGTACATGTCACAGTAATGTAAAATTATTATTATTTTTGCCTTTATTACGTTAATTAGAAGATAGTAATTACATAATATCAAAGTCATCGTGCAAAGGCAAGGCCAGAGGCTGTTTTTAAGCATAAGCTCAAAGATTGTTATCATTATTACTGTGTTTGCATTACGCAAATCAGGAGGAAATGTAGTTGGCATGCCACAGGAATTTCACAACCGTGTAAAAGCAAGATAAAGCCGCAGGCTGTTTTCAAACACAACATTACAAGTTATTATTAATCAGTTCGTGTTCGTGGGGTTCAGTAAATTCGTTAAAGTTAAATTATATAGACGAACAAAAATGATAAAAATTCAATTTTAGGCCTTGATAGACAATTCGTTACAAAAATACCTACTCTTACAGATTTATTTATGTGTAGATGTTATTATTAGTACACTTTGAGAATAGGTTTAAAAATAGGATCTCACCATCGCCTCTTTTGCATTATACATAGCGTAAATTTAACGTGTTCCTCTCGTATCTACCCTTACGTAATTGTTTATTACACAAATTAGGAGAGCTGGGAATGACGTGCCAAAATAATTGCATAATTAAATAGAGACGACGTACAATCGAAAGTTGTTTTTTAACATAACTTAAAAAATTATTACGGGGATAAGGATTTTACACAATTATGATAAATATGAATACGAGAAACACGTGTTCAACTTATACAGAAAATATACACTTACGTACATTTACTTATAAAACAATTCTGATTATTGTATTGTATCTGTTCTGCATATTAGCATACGTCAGAATTTAATGATATTTGAAACCTGGTCCTATTAAGTATTTATGATGCAAATGAAAAGGTCGTACCAGTGTCATCGTATAATTTTCTAGAGATGTGTCGCTCAAACCTAACTCCACAGTTAGACAGACATGCAACAAAACGAGAAGTTAAACGAAACATTAAGTATAGCTGTA